ACCTCCTGAGGCGCCGTCATACGCTGTAACTCATATCTCTAATGCCAGTGGCAATTTTTCCGGTATGCAAAGTTCGATCCTCTCAAATGCTCAGTTTCATCGTGGATCGTTGGTTAGTCGAGCTTCGTCTGCCTCTCGTATTTTACCTAGTCTCAATGGCAGAGTTTCTTCCGCCAGGCACCTACGGAATAACTCTTATCAGGGCAACTCTAATTTTTGGCGAGGCCGTGGATCTGGTTCTTACGGACCATCAGGAGCAAATGTTGGAGGTGCTGGGGCAAGTAATAGTGTGGCGGGGACCTCAGCTGTTGCCCGACAGCAACAACAACAGCAAAGCATTACTGGGATCCGAGCACTTCCAACTTCCGAGGGACTTGGATTCCTCGTTGTGACAAAAACTGGTTTGCTTTCTGTGTTTGCACCCGAATTTACAGATGATTCAGCTGTGATGACAGCACCTGAAGGAGCTTCACCAAATCGCCTCGATTGTCCTGCTTTGGGAAGAAATTCAACCTGGTCAATGGGTCCACTAATTGTAGAGACGCCGGGACGATATCTGGTACGTGATATGGGCTGTAATTTAATTTTTGAATGATTTTTTAGCTCCTTCATTTTATGTGCCTCTTCTTGAGTGTCATACAACGTTAGCGATTCCTTAAAACTCTATTCTTAGCCATATTTTCCACTATGCACTTTACAAAGTTTGACCCGCCTGAAGTGGACGAACAGTTTCTACATTGGGAGTTGGACACTGCGGAACTGGAATTTATCACACATGACTCTGCCAGTCTTCGTCGGCATGCAGATCTACTTGTTAAGGGGGGTTCATTCGAGTCGCAACAGCCTATGCAAACTAGAAATCAACAGAGCACTTTAGGCAACAATTGTGACAATGATGCTAATGATAGTCATGCATCGAACTCGGACAGTGATCAAGAAGCCGCAGTCACTGCTGGTGGTCAACAACGTTCCCAAGATTGGCTTAAATGGTACATTTGGGCCAGGCGCCAGACACGTCTCGCCTCTGATGTTCTTGGCCCCGACTATGAAACAGCATCCGGCCACCGTCAAACCTATCTCTCTATTTCCTGTAACAATGGCGCTGTACAAGTCACCTCTCGACCTAGTGTATTTCGAGCCAGTCAATCCTTAAGCGGTAGTGGAATGCGTGCTCGCTTTGGCACTGTCTCCGGTGAGTTTCGCGCCGGGGGTCGTGAGTCAGCTGCTCGCCGGGGATCAACTGGGGGAGTCAGACGTGGTCTTGCTCGTCAGGAGCGTTTAGCAGCTTCATCTACTAGAGGCATTGGAATCCCTCGCTCTCACTTAGTCCATTCTGGTGGAGAATCGGTATTATCGCCAGGCTTTTCTGAAGCTAATAACTCAAATGGCTGTCTATGCCCACTAACTGTGAATTTTGAAGTGTTGCACGCGCCCAGTCATCTGCCGTTTCATCGGTTGCCACCAGCCTATCTCACAAATCTGCATGGTGTAGCCTATGCTAGCAGCCGTCAGAGCCTGCAGCCAGGTAGAAGACATCTGAATCGGCTTCTCGATTTTCTTCCTTCCGTCACTCTTGATAACAGTGGGTTTTCATTTTCCAACCTAGGTTCATATTAGCGTCGTAATATGAGAAGAATTAAATTTATTTATGTATCTTATAGTTACTCGACTAAATTGTCAAAATTCTTGCATTTAATAGATGATTGAACGCATTTTGGGAAATGGCCTTAAATTTGCCATATTCCCATCATTTTCTCTCTATTTTATAATGCATACATTTTAGCTTGCCATACGATTGTCTGCTCTTTTTAACTTTTAATTGGTAAATAAATTGTTTGACCTCGTC